AGAAGGGCGGGGAAGAGGATAGCAGGGAAAGAAGGTGGGGGTTAATTCCTCCACTTTCGACTTGGTCTCCTTATTCTTTCCCCTGCCTCCGCCCTCATCCCTGTTTCTCTCTCTCTCTCTCTCTCTCTCTGTTGTCCTTCTAGTGATGCTTTGGTGTACCTTTGAGTAGAGTTGACGCCAGGAGTACACTCCCCCCCCCCCTCCCACTCACAGGGTCAGCAGCAGAACCTAAAAGTGTCAACTTCAAGAGGCCTATTGGGCTATGTGAGCCAGCTCCTATTTATACCCACCCTACACCCACTCGCATGTCTCACCTACACTTGAAACTAACACCCTCTTATCTGTTACGTTACCAGTTGACCTGTTCCATAAACCTGCGACCCTGTTAACACACTATAGTATTTTCTCAATTATTTTCTTAATGTAAAATTACCCTGTTTATATCCATTATTTCGTGGTCTAGTTTGTGTTGATATTGTTACACTCAATTGATATGTCTTGTTATACCCATTTATTAATCATCATCATATACCCATTCATCCATTTGTATATTCCAATCACGTCCAACTTTTACCTTTCGCCTTTTTATTTCGTAAATTAGGCTTTATAAGATAGGCTCCTAATGCCTGGGATTAACTTAAATCATTCTATAATACGACTGCCAAAACTAAAAAAAACATAATATTAATGGGAAATGACAAGGGAAAGATATAACTGAGGATAATACTGAATGCTTCACTACTTTTAGATGTGAATAAAAACATCATATTTCTCTTAATTCGAGAATGTATAGAAAGATTTCTTTGCTTATAATCCATATAACTGTGACACTGATGTTATTCGTATTTCGATTTGTTTTTTTCAATTCTGTTCTGCTGATATTTGATACCTCTCATCATTTCATAAATCACTAGAAGTTGTCAGCATTAAATTGTATCTGCCTCAATTTCACTAAATTTTAATAGCCTAAATTATCTTGTATCGTTTCAGTCTTCACCTGAATGTATTTTCCTCGTCATTTTAATGTCACCGGAAAATTCACTCATGTTGTTGTTGTCAGTCATTTAAATATATGGTAAAATGGGGTCCAAGGACAGAATCCTTGAGCACTTAAGCTCTGTTCTGCTTTCTTTGGGGGTACACTTTCCTAATATAATTAAAGTTACCTCCTCCAATACCACGGCTGTCTGCCAATTTTCTCTCACAACGCTTCCAGGTTAGGTCAAAACGGGTTTCTAAATCATCGATGTTTTCTAACTACTTATTCAGTGTTTCTAGTCTCCCTGTTGGTCTAATATTAGATATTATTTGTCCACGATTACTCCATGATGTGTACTTAAGAACACAAGAATCAAGGTAACTACAGATCGCCTATTGGCCCATGCGAGGCATCTCCTATTTATACTAGTTCCACAAATCAACAACCCTGTTAACGAACCAGTATTTACCTAGGTCTTTCCTAAATCTAAACTTATCTAATTTATACCCCCATTGTTTCGTGTTTTATTTTGGTCTGATACTTTTAATAGTTTGTGCTGATAGTTTGAGAAAGTCATCTATCGGGTCCAACATTCTTCTTCCTCCAAATTCCTCGATTTAGTTTTTAAGTTTAGCTAAAAGTTAAGTTTAAGTCCACGAGATGATAGCAAGAAAGTGATGCGCATGATGATGAAGACGAAGATGGATAACAAGAAAATGAATAAGGAAATGGATAAGAAGATGGATGAAGCGAAGATTGACGAGAAGGAAACGGATGAAACGAAGACAGATAAGAATAAAGTGGATGAGACGAAGATGGATAAGAAGGAAATGGATAAGACTAGGATGGATAAGAAGATGGTTCTGAAGAGTAATTCACTGGGGAAGGAGGCTTACATAACTGTATTGAATGCTTTATTCATCTTGTTTACAGTGATACCAACACAAAACCTTCAACAGAGGACACGGCATCAGTGTTTAGTGAACTCAAGAGAGCGCTGAAGCTACATGGGCGGCGGGGAGGTGTTTTCTGGGCATAGGTGAGGGGAAAACCGCCCACGCTACACCATTCACTGCTACTACCATTTACCAGTGGCCGCCCACAACCCAGTACTGTCATCATAACCGACGTTCCACCACTCGCTAGCCGCCACCACCACCAGTGCTCTTCATTTGAATGACCAGTAGAGCTTTGTCCCAAGTATAAAATGTACCAGGTACACTGGTGGGGACTAGGCTTGGCTAGGCTAGGTTAGGACACGGGATGGTAAATAATATACTGTATTTTTGTGTACATAGACTAATGACAATGTACTGATATTTCTTCATAAAGTTCTAGTACCGAGTTGAATTGGAAAGCTAGTCTTCTGTTTGAGAGTATTCGTTGACTTGGCCTGTTGTTGGAGGAATATTCATTAAATGGTCTGTTCTGTGAACTATTTATTAAACGGAGAAATGTGCTGTATATTGTAATGTTATTTTTGTCTCATGTGCAAAAAAAAGAACAAAGTCTTCTATCTTTTTGTCTGAACCAGCATTCTTTATCAGTCTCTCTTGGACGACATGATTTCCCAAGTGGCTGTTTCCAAAGCGCTTGTGTAGCCTATGCTGTATTTTCACAATATTCCTTGCTGTTTTGGTACGGTTTCTGAGTGGATATTTTTCTATTGCTCTTTTTACATGCATATCAGCGTGTCAAAAATATGTGAAGAAATAATGAATTTCTCCAGTTTGTCTCAGAAACAGAAGCGCATAAAGTGATGTAATTTAATATTCACGAAATTGACTAACGCAAGTGGCTTGATCTTGTCCTGTTAAGCACAGAAAAGAGCCTCAACTCGGAGGCTTGATGCAAGTCTTATTCTCGTAGCTGGGATACGAGGTCCCGGAACTGGGATATGAGGTCCCGGAACTGGGATACGAGGTCCCGGAACTGGGATACGAGGTCCCGGAACTGGGATACGAGGTCCCGGAGCTGGGATACATAACCCATCTGTAGTTGGGGACTATCTGGTTTTCTTCGGCATGAGGCTATCTTTCCTTCTGGAGCAGGAGGCTGACTCCCCTTTTTGAGACAGGAGGCTGCCTTCCCTTCTGGTGGAGGCAGGTGGGGGCTGGTGGAGGCAGCAGGGGGGGCTGCCTCCACCTTCTGCAGCAGGAGGCATCCCCCTTCCCACCATATTATTCACTGCTCATGCAACCCGTCCTCACACCAGGCTGTTTAAAACAGCGGCCGTTCTCTTCAGACGCATTCATCAATTTTAACATACTGTGTATTAAAAACTGGTTTGTTCTCATAAATTAATATTATTATACATAAAAATTATATTTATAGTTAGGCGTAGGTAAGATTAGGTTAAGTATTTAGGTTCTGTTGGCGATTATTTGTATTTGCAATCCAGGAAAAGTACAGACATAGATGATTTACAAACATAATGTTGGATTTATAGATAGAGCTAGTACATACAATACCTAAAGCCACTAGTAGGCATGACGTTTCGGGCAAGAAACGTAGTTGTAGTTAAGGCCTTCCTGAACTCTCTGCAGTCCTCTACTTTAACATTTCTCATTGGCTTTCCATGTGTGTGTAAACATGCCATGCACGAGGTCACTCTCTTGGGTAGGTTATTCACAAAGAATAAGAGCGAGCAACATCAACAGCAGCATAAGAAAATAACACAGCAGGAGCGGTAGCAAGAGCAGAGTATAGAAGCAGTAATAACAAGAGGAACACAACAGCAGAAAGGCCACAGAAGAAGCAGCAACAACAGGAAGAGGCGCACGAGAACAGATACTGTTGTGCTGCTGTTTTCCTGAAAGAGCAGCAGCAGCAACAAGAAGAGGATAGCAGCAGCAACAAGAAGAGGACAACAGCAGACGCAGCAGCAAGAAGAGGACAACAGCAGACGCAGCAACAAGAAGAAGACAGCAGCAGACGCAGCAGCAAGAAGAGGACAGCAGCAGCAGCAGCAACAAGAAGAGGACAGCAGCAGAAGCAGCAGCAAGAAGAGGACAACAGCAGACGCAGCAGCAAGAAGAGGACAACAGCAGACGCAGCAGCAAGAAGAGGACAGCAGAAGCAGCAGCAAGAAGAGGACAACAGCAGAAGCAGCAGCAACAAAAAAGCAGGAGTAGTAAGAGGAGGCGCACAAGAACAGATACTGTTGTGCTGCTGTTTTCCTGAAAGAGCAGCAGCAGCAACAAGAAGAGGATAGCAGCAGCAACAAGAAGAGGACAACAGCAGACGCAGCAGCAAGAAGAGGACAACAGCAGACGCAGCAGCAAGAAGAGGACAGCAGAAGCAGCAGCAAGAAGAGGACAACAGCAGAAGCAGCAGCAACAAAAAAGCAGGAGTAGTAAGAGGAGGCGCACAAGAACAGATACTGTTGTGCTGCTGTTTTCCTGAAAGAGCAGCAGCAGCAACAAGAAGAGGATAGCAGCAGCAACAAGAAGAGGACAACAGCAGACGCAGCAGCAAGAAGAGGACAACAGCAGACGCAGCAGCAAGAAGAGGACAGCAGAAGCAGCAGCAAGAAGAGGACAACAGCAGAAGCAGCAGCAACAAAAAAGCAGGAGTAGTAAGAGGAGGCGCACAAGAACAGATACTGTTGTGCTGCTGTTCTCCTGAAAGAGCAGGAACAAGAAGAGGACAGCAGCAGGAGCAGCAAGAAGAGGACAGCAGCAGGAGCAGCAAGAAGAGGACAGCAGCAGGAGCAGTAGCAAGAAGAGGACAGCAGCAGGAGCAGGAGCAAGAAGTGGACAGCAGCAGGAGCAAGAAGAGTACAGCAGCAGCAGCAGGAAGAGGACAGCAGCAGCATCAAGAAGAGGACAGCAGCAGCAGCAGGAGCAGCAAGAAGAGGACAGCAGCAGCAGGAAGAGGACAGCAGCAGGAGCAAGAAGAGGACAGCAGCAAGATCAAGAAGAGGACAGCAGCAGCAGCAGCAGGAAGAGGACAGCAGCAGCATCAAGAAGAGGACAGCAGCAGCAGCAGGAGCAGGGGAGGGGCTGGAGCGGTCCTGGCGGGCGCCACGGTCAGTACCAGTCTGGCCGCCGACACTGTTAGACGCGTGACCGGTCGCTCCTCGCCCCCACGCTCGTGCCTCTCTTCCTTCACAGGGAACACCCCGCCGTGGGCGTCCCTCACCCTCAGTGTTGTACACGCCGTGTGTCGTGCAAGGAATACAGTGTGGTGCTTCGGAATTAGCCATATCTGTTCACAAGAACGTTAGCCCTACAGCAGCAGCAGCAGACACAAGCAGAGACCACACACCGCTACCTGCTGACGCCTCTGCTGTGTTCACTACAGCCATCATGTTTAAAGGTATGAACGAGTCAATGAACGCCATGATGAACAAACCTCCGGACTTTTTTTCCCCCCCTCCACTTTTCCTTATCCGGATTACAGTTCAATTTTTTGTCGTATGTTCACTTATCCTCGTAGCTTCACGTTCATTCACTTATCCGGACCTCACAGTCCACTATTTTGTTATTCGATCATTTATCCGGATCACTAGCTTCACTTCCAATCACTTATCCGGACTGTGAGGTCCGGATAAGTTCCACAATTTTACGATACAAATTTCCTTCGTTTGGGAGTTATTATTCACCTTAGAATACAATTATTACTTCATCTTGTTTGGGTGTTGTGGTTTATTGGTTAGTGTTGTTGGTTAGTGTTGTCTAGGTAGTGTTGTTTGGTTAATGTTAGTGTTGTCTGTTTGGTTAACGTTGTTTTGTTAGTGTTAAATGTTCTCTGGTTAATGTTCTTTGGTTAGCGTTGTTTGTTTAGTGCTTGTATTGTCTAGTGATTGTTAATGTTGTCTGGTTAATGTTAGAGTTGTATGGTTAGTGGTGCTTGGTTAGTGTTAGTGTATTATACTGTTGTCTGGTTATTGCTTGTGTTTTGATATACAAGTTCAAAATGGGTGTTTCCCTATGGAGCCAAATTACGCAGTTTTTAAGACTACGAAGATATCCCACCAGAGTATAGTAGTTATGGAGGCCTGTACTAGGTCTTTATGGTACAGGATTATACCGGATATTTATAGGTTCAGTATAATACATTACCCAGTGTGGGTATAGTATTATACTTGACCCAGTGTGAGTATAATTTTATACTGGAGCCATTGTGGGTTCAGTGTTATACTGGGCCCTTGTAGGTTCAGTATTGTACTGAAACCTTATGGGCACTGTATTATACTGGGCTCTTGGGGGTTCAGTATTATACTGGGGCTCTTTGGGGTACAGTATTATACTGGGGGCCCTTGTGGGTACAGTATTATACTAGGCCCTTAATTGTGGATACAAAGTTATACTCGGCCCTTGTGGGTACAAGGTTATATTGGGCCCCTTATGGGTTCAAAGGTATTCTGAGCCGTTGTGAGTATAAGGTTATACATGGTATTTATGGGTACATAGCACAGAGCACTTTACCCAGACATATATAGACAATATGGAGTCTTACATTAGGCCTTGTGGATGCAGATCCTGGCACACACGTTGTGGAAATACTTACGTTGGGTCCTTGTTGACTCATGACCCGGACATGGCTTACTCTGGCCTGAAAGGGTGATTCACTGTGGGAACAATGTCCTTCCCTTTGCTACTGGGGCATCTGGTATGCCTTTTGGCTTTATACAGGAAGAGACGACTTTTGATTCATGTTAGGCTGAGAGCTTCCATCTTTCCATAGTTCATGGTAAGCCTTACCCACAAGTTTTTCTCCCTGGAATACGACTCCCTAATCGAACAGACGCAAACAGTGAAGGATTGGTGCCTTGTCAATCCTCCCTGGCTAGGACTCGAACCCAGGACCAAATCGTTACATGTAGGGATGTGGAGATTCCATAATTAGGCCTTCATGTACAAGATTTTTGTATTGTTAAAGTGAAAGCATGTTTTGATCATCAGCCTGTTGCCCTGATGCGTGCGTTCCATGATTTTGCTTTTCAGGGGGTATAAGAGCGTCGAAATTGCTGTTTGTGCAGTGGAAACATCTATCTGGTTGTCACATATTTCACCTCTTTTGGTAGTTTATTCACCTAACCTGATATATAATTGTTATTATTATTATTATCTTTTTGATTTCGTTATGTGATGGAGTACAAATTCGAGAGATAGGTAGATCCTGTTAGAAGAGGCTGACACTGACATCTAGAATGGTAACATGAGGTAGCAGAGGATGATACTGACAGCTAGAGTGGTAGCAGAGGCTGCCGTTCAGAGACAGCGGGCAGCGAGACAGACATACATAACAGGTGGACAAGAGATTGATAGGCAAACACGTTGTTAGGCAAAATGCAGACGCAAAAACCACAAACAGAAGCGTAGACAGACAGACGGACGCTGCATGATAAACAGAAGGCAGACAAGCAAACTTATAAACTGCCGGCAAACCTTGAACATAAACAGAAGCCAAACAGGGAACAGATAGACAGACACTAGACTGTGTAGACACTAGACTAACCAACTGGATATTCTCCCTTCACAAGTTAGAGGTTCTAGGTTCGAACCCTGGACAGGGTGAGAGATTTTGGTCACAGTTCCTTGGCTCCATAACTCCATTGAAACCAACAAAAATTGGGGGGTCTGGATGTAAAATCAATCCGCGGACTGTGTTCTACGAAAAAAACAGACTAGGTTTATACATGAGCTGCCAAGAATAGCTTATAACCCGCAATAAAACAGAAACCTCAGTACCTTGAACTCTGTAAGATTAACGCGTAAAGGAAAAGATGATCACAAAGCTAGATAATAAAGGCAAGTCTCATCAGTGATGTCCAAGCCTCATCAGTGATGTCCAAGCCTCATCAGTTATGTCCAAGCCTCATCAGTGATGTCCAAGCCTCATCAGTGATGTCCAACAAACCACTGCGGTCTTCCCTGTCCATTCTACAAAGAAAAAGGCCCAGATTTTGTCCATCTCTATATAGTTATGACCATTTTTTTTACAGTTCTGTCCATCTGTTTACAGTTCTGTCCATCTGTATACAGGTCTGTCTTATATGTATACAGCTCTGTCCATCTATATACAGGTCTGTCTTAAATGTATACAGCTCTGTCCATCTGTATACAGTTGTGTCTATACACCATCTGCCAAAATAATGTCGCTGTTATTTTGAAGTACAGAACTAAAACTGTAGACGCCGAAGTGGAGAGAAAGGTGGAGTGATGTTAGGAGGGGAAGGGAGAAGGAGGGGGAGATGTGTGGAAATGAGGACGGTGGGGAGTGGCGGTGGTGTGAGGGGGAGGATAATAGACATGAGGACTTAGGGTAGAGGGGGATTGTATAGTCATGAGTGGGATGAGGAGTGAAGTAGGGTGGAAGAGCTAATGGGACAAGATAGTAAAGGTGGATAGAGAAGGAAGGGAAGAAGATGGAGAGGGTGTAGTGAAGGAATAATGGGGATGGGTGGAGTGAGGAGGTAAGGGGAAAGGAAGATGTGGAGTGGAAATGAAGTACGAGGTAAAGCTGAAAGAGTAGATTGGAGAGATGGGAGGAGAGGGAGTGCGTAGATTGGCGAGGGAGGGATATGCCGTAGGCCGTATTGCTTTTCTTCCCTCTGTATTACATTCGGATAAGCAATCACTTGAAATATCAACAGAGCATGAATAGGCGTTAGGCCTAACTCAAATTCAATTTCACGCCCCCGTCTAAGCCTACCATATTTTATGTATACATTTATATTTCTGGAAAAGCGATTAGGCTTTTCTCTCTGTGTTCAGACAAACGGACAAGTACTTTAAATTTACTAGTGTCACAAAAATGACGATGAAAAAGATGATTTATTTCCGGATTCCTTAATGAATGTCTTAACTATTGGAATAATCAGTAATAATCGAAAGCTGTGAATTTAAACTCGGAGGCTGAAACAGCCGTAGGCAATCCTCTGCCTTCCGGCATTATTTAGTTGTATGTCCGGATGAACAATTACTTGGTGTTATTTTAAGAACAAAGAGAGTGTGTCCAGTTGCGTGGGAACCCTCCGCTGTTCAGAACAGCCCCCAATTATGAGAAATGTATTCTTAATTATTAGATACACGAGACAGGAAAAAATTGAATCCCGTTTTTCAAGAAAGTAGTGAATTTCCTTTTTCAGTCATTCAGTAAATGTTTTAACACGGCGGTTAGACTAAGCGGCCTTTGAGTTATGCATCACAAAAATACGCTGGAATTTAGTTGGTACGAATTGAATTGTTTTGTCATTGTTGAAATGTTACTGGTTCTGGAAAATCTCAAATTCATCTAACATTATTGGAATTTTAAATGTTTAAAGATGGTGACCGTTATTACTGGTTTTCCAACAATGCTGGAACTATGCGTTGCACTACTAGAATATGATCATTGGCTCCGAAAAATACTGCAGTAGACTACGATTTAGCATGGCGGGAATTTTGTTAATTTCTGATAGGCATGATTGTTTTTTATAACACTGGAAATGTTGCAGAAATATTGTGAATGTTGCAGCCATTTCTTTACGAATTAATCAGCAAATCACCGGAATTTGGCATAGGAAAACTGGATTTTTTCTTCTGAACATCCTTCCTCTCTCTCTCTCTCTCTCTCTCTCTCTCTCTCTCTCTCTCTCTCTCTCTCTCTCTCTCTCTCTCTCTCTCTCTCTCTCTCTCTCTCTCTCTCTCTCTCTCTCTCGTAGGTAATGCCTGGTTAGAGATAGGCTACATGTACTAATTTGTTTTAACATATTCCACACCGTTATTATAAGAATTGTTTTATATATATATATATATATATATATATATATATATATATATATATATATATATATATATATATATAATTCTTAGTTTTCAGCTCATTGTTTCACTCCTTTTCGAAACATTAAACAAATGGTGTGTTTACATTATCGTTCTCGCTTTATACTGGCGTCTCGCTGTGTGTGCACGCTCTCCCTTGTGGAGCTGCAGTGTTTACTGATACTTGGTTGTTTGCTCTGGTGCCCCTCCCTCGCTGTTAGTATGGTCTATATGGATATGCCTCCTTCTCGCCTTCCACCAGTAATACCTCTTAATGTCATCACTTGGTTGATGGAACATTCCACAAGATGGTGGTAAAATGAAACATTCAGTGACTGTGAGAAGAAGCTTCAGTGTAAGTACTAACTGCATATGAAGCCGGGAAAGAAAACTTCAAGTTCCTTAGAGCAGGAGTCACGGAAATGACGGTGGAAGAGAAAAAGAAATACAATTTTGTGTCGGGAGGCTAATGACTTGAGCTTATATATATGTGAAGTCGGGTGAACTGATCAGACTAGCAGCTTTCCCCTGGATTACATCAATGATCTTGGTAGAAGGGGAGCTGCC